CCATGATTTTAGAAACATTTTATCCCATGTTATCAAAGACACTGCTGACGGAGGAGAGGTGTCCCCAGGCTGGTGGTGCTCACACACAGCACTTTTCTCTTCTGACAACCTGCTTCATTCTGTGTGTGGCTGATGGCAAGTAGCTACACAGATTCTCTCATGATCAGCTTTCTGCTCCCTTCAGTTCCTTTTCCAGGCCTGATTTGGAGGAGGATTCGGTGTGAGCATCACACGTTTCCCTGCAGAGGAGCAGTGAGGAGCCCCCAGTGCACTGCTCATCTCCCAGCAGGTGGTGCCATTGGGAAATGCAATTTATTCCCAGATGCACAAACTTTGGGCAATTTAGAATTGCTGCAAATTGTAGAATTTCCAGACTTCTAAAAAAAAAAAAAAAAAAAAGGCAATGTTCATGTCTTTAATGTTCTCTGTAAATAGTCGAAGCCACGGAGAAATATTAATTTTTGATTTTTCTCTAGGGAGGTTTAAAAAGACACTTAAAATAAAGACAAATGATGCCAATGTCCCACATTCAAGAGAAGAAAATCGACCCTGAAAGTGTATGTAGGAAGAACTGGTTTTGTTCCCAGTTCACCAGGGATTAGTGCAAACAGCAATGTTTGTTATAATTCTGTTATCTGTGAGGATGCTGAAACAGGAATTGATAATTACACAAAATAGTTCGCAGTTGCAAGAAATCAAAGCAATTAAACCATTATATGTGTCAGGAATCAGGGAATTAGCAATCACAGCTGCTTTTCTTGATTTTGTGACTGGTGAAGTCGTGGTGACTTCAGCATAGACAGACCCAAATCTCTATTTTTGTAAATTTTTAAATTTAGAAAACTCCCAAACATTTGTAGATACAACTCTATAGCAATTAACTGGTTTTAAATTTGAGGAACTTATCCAAGAAATGATGTGGAGCCTCCACTCTCAGGGACAAGATTGCTGGTCTGGAGAAATGTTTGGTCAGTAAATCAGTCAGAGAGAATTTGAGGGCAACACACAGAGAACCTTCACCTCTTCTGGAGAAAGTGAAACAGGGGAACAGGGACTAAACAATGTTCTTGATGTATTAGAACAACTTTGATCTGATGTAATTCAGAAATCTGTATCTTGAGAGGTTACCATAATGGCTGTTAGGAAAATATGCAACTGTATCACTGGCACAGGTAAAGTATAAATTCTTTAGGTCAATCTGATTTCCAGTTTAACCACGGAAGATGGATTTTTTTTTGTGTGTGTGTGTTGGAAATGTTTTTCTCTCAAGTTTCATGTTATTTTGGCTTAAATGCCTGCAGTTGAATTTACTTCTTGGATTTTGGTCATTACCAACTCAATTTTCCTCTCTGGAACAATGTTGAGGCTGATCAGGAACACGACAGTGTAATCAGCTGTAAGATCTTATGGAATGCACTTCACTTGGAAGGGACATCTCACAGCAGCCTCAGGTTTTGGCACCATTTGACCTTACTCCTGAGCTAGTTCATCCTAAGTCCTTGCCTTTCCACCTGAGTCCAAAACAATTCTGGCTCAGGACTGAACCCTGTGGCTCACTCTGAAGGATGTTGGGCCACACTTTCTTTCTCCTTGCCTTGCTGGTGCTCAGAGCAGAGTCTTTGTCCCTCGTGGGAAAGACTGGTGTGATTTTGCTGTGCTTTGTATGTCCTGCTG